CGCACCACTTCTGCGTCGTGCTTTACACGGAAGAAGGCGTCAATGCCGTCGTACTGGTCCTTGGACAGAAGCCATTGGCGTGTTACTCAGGATTTCGCTCTCGGGCCGATCTCATGACGCACATATCGGTCTGGAGGTAGGACCGACGGCGGCTCTTTGGCGACGACGTCGTGAAATTTCTTCACCAAAAGATAGGACGGATCCGAGGGTTTCCTCAGGATCGAAGATCCACTTCGTACGCTCAGCACTCTCTTGGTGTCCTCCAGGACAGCTTTATCCAAAAGTGACATCGAGTTGATCTCCTCTTCCGGTCGTATAATGAAGACTTAAGGCTCCGCCGAACTCTTCGGGAAACATCTCGTCCGACTCAGAAAGAACATCCACCTCACGAATAACCTCAGGGGTGATGTCGCCGTCTTCCTCTTCCGTCGTACCATTGACAAGGGTATATACATGTGTGCTATCGTCTACGGTCGACACACTCTAGGTCAAGGTTGACGCCCTGCGTCTTGCACATAACATATGGCAACGCCGTCTCCTTTCTTAGAGGTTTTACGTCTAGGCGAGACCAGTGGGGACACGCACTAAGCGTCGTCCAGGGTCCTCACTCCCTGCTCCATCAAAGCCTTGATGGAATTAACAAAATCCAACGAAGAGTTGCTATTTCCGCAGTCTTCGTCTAGTGGATAACGCGCCACTCCATACGCATCTGAAGGGCCTTGTCCAAGACGCGTCGGACCTCATCCAACCATGCCTCTCTTGGCATGCAGCAAGTACTTCAAAACGCGAGAATTAATCGGTGGATAACGTGCCACTCCACGCGCATCACAAGGGCCTCGCCCTCGATGCCTCGGGCCTCGTCCGACCATGCCACTCTTGACATTCAGCAACTACGTGAACACTCCACTTTCATCACTGGGGCCGAGTTATCGATGCCATGTAGTAACTGCTTTTATACATGAACAGTGCTCAGCGGGCTACGTGCCACTCTTCGTACAACCCGCGAGCCATGATCGGGACTCTTGAATTATACATCTTCAGTGTTCGACAACTCGAATACTGCAAAATCCAGCACGTTGACCGTCTTTGTCCAGTGCTCTCGCCAAATCTCCGCCAGGAGACGTGCGCGCAGCACCCAGGGTCTTCGACCTCCAGTCGATCCATGGCTCATGGTGTTTCAACCATGCCATACCAAGAATAAAGTCATACCTTGAATCTAAGTCCAAGACTAAGCAGAGTTCAGTCACGAAACGCGACATCGAGGTCCACAGAGATCTTTTGCTTCGTGACATATGTCGCCGTCGCTAAGCGAACAGTTACATCATCTCTCAACCTCGCCGTCAGCGCCTCAGCATACAGCTAACTCCTTTCGATCGTGGAACGTCGAGCATAATTGCCCGACGCCCCCAAAGTCGACCAGGATTCTCCATGGCTTCTCGAAGCCCTTCACGGTCGCTTTTACGACCAGCTAGCCCGGCTTGCATACACGTTCCGTACTCAATAGTACGGTCTTCATCGGGGCTATGCACTGCTGCCCTCTACCTCTCTGAAGCTTAACAGAACTCAGCTCTTTCCCAGTAGGCCGCTAGCGCCTACTGGATGCTGTCGATTACCAGCGACAAAACAGAAGACTGGTAAAAAGCGGGACGTCGGTTCGATGAACCTTGACGCGTCTTGCGCAGGGGACAAGCAATCCGAAGGTGACGGGTTTGTCCAATGACAAAATACTGTGGTGTGTTCGAACGCTGGTCGGCAGCTCGGCGCTCTGCCTCCTCGACCTCAATATATACATCGGCTGAGGCCCACTCAACGAGCTTCTACACTGTGCATTCCAACCTAGTCGTGCCGGCTTAAGGTCGAATTCGGCATTCAGTGCCACATTTAATACTTTTTCAAAAGAAGGCGGGTGCAAACGGATGACTCTCTTCTGTCACGCCAGCGCGGAGGCCCTCCATACAGACGGTCACTGAACCGCCTCGGGAAGAGGATCGACTGCCATACCGGCAATGAGTGTACGCAACTTTTGACAAAGTCCACCAATTTCTTCTTGCCCTGTCAGGCGGCAAGGAAACGCGATCGCACGCGATATGCCTGGTTAGGCGTCAAGAACACTCGTTGAAGCTGCGGCTTCAGCTCCGCCCAGGAGGGAACATTTCTCCATTCTTGCCTCGAATGTCCTAACACTCACCATGAGTGGCTTGGGTCGGGGGAGTCATCCATCGTCGATGGTGGCGTCATGAACGCAATCGACGCCGCAACTTTTGCTATAGATGCTCTAGCAGAGCATTTTCATAGCTTATAAAACGCCTCTAGGCTCGCGCTGATCGCTTCAGGTCCTTGCGAAGCGAGGTGTTGGACGCCCTCAGGACCAACAGATACATTAGCTTTTTAAGCCCGTCCTGCATGCCATGGGGCAAGTAAGAGAATTGCTCCATCTTCACATAGGGTCAGTCATAACGACTCAGGCGCAGATAGACTGCTACCAGGAGCTGCAGGGCTGCCGTGGTTCTTTCGCTTAGAGAATGCTTGGTTAAGGTCGTCGGTGACCTTCGTTCTGTACTTAGAACCAGCACGAGTGTAGCGGGTCGCAATCCGCTCACTCCAAGAGTAGCTACAACTTAACCCAATGCTCTTCCGTTTAAAATGTAAACTGTATTCCTCGGTTTTTTTGCAGCAAAGCCACCTATATCTAAATCTATAAGCTTTCTATCCTACGTAGTAAAACCTCTTTATTTTTGTTGTCAAAGTGTAGCCACACCATTGTGTGGTTACACAATCTTTTAACCCACACCATTGTGTGATCACACCATCTTGTGCGACTTACACCTTTCATACCAGAATGAGTACACGGAATCGGGGTAATCAATTACATTTTTTCAGGCTGTGCACATTCTTCGGTTCTCATACAGCATATACTTTTCGATGAAGATAACCTATCGAAGCTGTCAGAAGGCACAAGTGATTGAGAAGCATTCTCAGCTGTTATTTTTAACTAGAATCGGCTGAAGTCAAGCTGCGCAGGTAGCGTGTATAATCAAGCAAGAGATGCTCTACTGTCTAATGCATCGAAATTACGAATGCTGGTGATCCTCATTGTTCGCCGATTATCTCGGGTTTGTATGTTATGATCTAAAATAATGGAACGACTTGATCTTCTTATCTGCTCGACCAATGTAGCACTATCGAGCTCTGTATAGCATCTCCATTCGAATATGTTCGCCACCATCAGAATGAAGTCATACTGGGAGTCGCCAAAATGGGTACTTTTATTTACTGACGATCAATGTTCAATATTGGACACTGTTCTCTGGGCGTAATTCCAGTAGCGATGATTACTCTCCGTATCTATCAAAGTAGGTTTTATCGACAATTCACTGCACATAACATCAAAATGTACCTAGTTGTTCATTTCTCTGCGCTTCATCAAGGGCACATGATTTAAGTTGCTAGAAAGTGCAAACAGTAAGATGTTCATGCCAGCCGATACCTTTTGTTGAAGCTCGTGCGTGGCATATAGCGTTAGAACATTCATTTTAAGGCATATAGCTTTGACACATATTCATACACAGGCTTGGTAATTGCCCAAAATTGAATAAATATATTAATATACGATCACATGACACAAAATTGTGGGCATCAACCAAATGATGTCAATTCCCGTTTTAGTCAAGACACGATAGGTGCAAATGCCGAATGTTCCGGTGGTTTGTCCTGCGCAAAATTATGTTCAGTTCTTCAAATTGGACTCGGCTCAGACTTCTGGATTTCTCTCCAAAACTTTCGTCTCGACTCAGATTTTCTGCCCTTTCTTTATACTTATTTAAGAGATACCCACATCCAGTTACTGGGCTACATTTGTGCTTGTGAACAGATCTGTAAGTTTTAGAAACGAATCTGTCAAAGACCCCCTCGATAAGTACATCCAAAGCAAAAAGGACACACTCTTTATAAATTGGCGAGAGGTACCACCAGCCCTTCCTATGCCGTACACCACAATATTGTCATCCACCCAGCAGAGGGTCCGCAAATTGAAGTAGCCATCCGCTCGATTCAGTCCCCGAATATTTTTTTTATGCGAAAACGTTGCGCTGCGTCCAACAACGCGTTTTTAACCTACATTTTAATGTCGTTCATATTTGTGCAAAACGAAGATGTACTATCAGACCACGAAAGACGATGACATTGTATTCGACAACTCTGAGTACAAAAAGAAATACGTGACTTGTATTGGAAATCTACAAAATAAATGTGGATCGTGTGGGATGGGGACAATGGCGGCATTTCCAGCTTACGAGTACCAAACATATTGTAGCTAGCACTTAATTTCTTTTGCACGCAAAGACTCCAATCGAGTTGACTAGCTGCGAGCGCGGAGTTCTCGACAACTTTGTTAAGTCTGAAGAGAACAAGAGCAGAAACGCGGACACCTCCCATTACTCAAAGCACTACGAGGGGACATAACGATAGGCGTAAAAAAAAATCGGTATTGAAAGTCGTTTGCGACACTTAAAACTGTACTTAATAAGCACGTAGAGTTTGCAAAGCTAATCAAATTTAGATTAAGAGGTCAAGAATCCATTTTCACAACTCTGTGGTGTTCATAATAGGGGCAATTACTCTTGAAGTTCGGGAACGCAACTTTGTGTTAATGTATTTGGAAATGTCTTGCAAGCGCATCTATCTCAATTAGAAATATTCCTCAGAAAAGGATGGACTGCAGCTTCTCAATAGGACCAACCTAGAGACTGTATGTGCGATGACTGCTAGTACTACATTTTTTTGATATCACAACTGAATGAACTTTATGAACCCGACAACATATATGGTCCACGTTTCACAGCCAGTCTGTTCCAACCAAGCCGGCTCTTTATCTGATGGGATAACTAGCATATATATATACGGAGTGATCTTCACAACATAGAGCTCCAGACGGAACCTCCCCACTCAGTTCGCGTTCAACTAAGTCTCGCGCAAATAAACTTCCTAGACAAATCTGCGCAATGGTCTCCGAAGGTCATCTCAACGTCGGTAGGCTCCAAGTACAGTCCCCAGCCTACATGGAGATTCAGTCACCTCGTGCTCCGAATTCGTCCACTAGTTCTCACGCCTTGAACTTGCGCCGACGCAAAATTGAAATCGAAGTCGTTGAAGGTGCACGCAAGGGTCCGTCCTGGC